CCCCCCCCCCCCCCCCCCAGCTCTCTGATCTGCTACAACCGTATGTCCCACCACGTTCCCTGAGGTCAGCGGACCAGTTGCTCCTCACAGTTCCAGGAACTCGTCTTAAGCGCAGAGGTGACAGGACCTTTTCTGTAGCAGGACCAAGACTCTGGAACGAGTTACCTCTGCTTGTCAGACAGGCCCCCTCCCTCTAGGTTTTCAAGTCCCATTTAAAAACCCACTACTATTCGGCGGCTTTCAACACCAGATGATCTGTGTTTTGAACCTGTATGCTCCACACTGGTTTGTTGTCATTATCGGTCTGTCATTTTATGTCTATATTCTGATTTACTTCATTTTGTATTTGGCTTTGTGTGTTACCTGCTGTTCTGTCTGTACAGCACTTTGGTTGGCCTTGTCACTGTTGTAAGTGCTCTATAAATAAAATGGTATGGTATCTGTGGTCTGCATGTGAAACAACTTCTATCCAAAGCAGACTTCTGCATGTTTAATAACTGTACTTTACTGAACAGACTTAAAAATAATGCTTCAAATGCTTCAAGACTAAAATGAATAAGAATTGGCAACGTTTTATTCAAAGTTTTGATAGTTATTTACAAAAAGCCAAGTTGTCACAAGAAGATGGCAGGTCTTTTCTCTATATACATTTTCATTTCACCTGTATTTGCTTTGATTTTATAAATAATAAATTCCTGACTAGAATCAAGCAGAGTGGGAGAAGTCCATGAAAATAATAAAATACATATTGTAGATCAATGCAACTATAGATGATGAAATGTAAGTTTGAATGCATGTTTGCAACTTAAACTTATAGTTTGAGTCAAACAGCACCTCGCCACATAAAGGCAAGAAGACACAAGTTATAAGAGTGATTTATTTCAGGATGCAGGTTCAGTGCAGTATGCTTCCTGAAGAGAAAACACAAGTGTTTTAATAGCAAAGTCAAGAGTTCAAACAAAGCAACAAGTAAGAAAAAAAAAAAAAAATCTGAAAAGAAGTGGTGCAAATGACAAAGTCAGTGCCATCATCTGTGAAAATTATCTGCTATTACAGTATAAACTTAAAAATCAGTTCTCTTACAGTCCCTTTAAAAAATAATTAGATGACGATAACCTTCTACAAAACTAAGAACAAACTGAGCATGAACAGAATATGTACAAAAGATGATTTGAACCAGAGAGAATAAATGTAATCTGTTGTGTTAAAGGTAATTTAAAAATTCACCAGTTATGTCAATGATTGTAACATTAGTGGTCTCAAAGCCTTTCGTCCAACGACCTTTTAATTCAGAGTTTGTTGTTGTGCAGCTTTTGTCCAGTTGCAGGGTCTTGAGATTTTTTATTTTTTTTTGTGTGCAAACAAACAAAAAAGACCGTACCAAAAGGCAAACACAATAACCTGTGTTTGGTGTGTAGTAGGATAAAACTGACATGTATTAAAATAACTATCTAGATAATAAACATTGTATACAGTAGGTGCGTGCCTTTTAAGATTCTGAACTATTTCCAGTAAGGACTGTGAGGTGGTTTTACTCATAATACAAAAAATATTTAACATGAGTACATGTAAAGAAAGCAATGGTGAGTCTTTATGTTGAAGGAACTCATTGATGAATCCCTCTAGGAAGAGGAACAAGAAAACTTTGAAGCAGTGTAAAACACACACACACATTGATGGGAGTATATACAAAGTGGAGTTCAGTGTATATATTTACACATTTATATACAAGAAACCAAACAAGAAGACATGATTCCATTTAGGGCTACGCCTAATATAGGCTAGTACTGATTTTTTTTTTTTTAATTACCAATTTTTTCCATGTCAAAAACCTTTTTCTTGAAAGAAAATAGTCTGCTCTGACCAAAAAAAGGGTGAAGAGGAGGAGCAGAAAGGGGCATTTTTTGTTTGTTTTTAGAAATTACCAAACAGATTAACAGAAAATGTCACAGAGCAGATTAATGTCTGCAGTTTGAGGCACCATGGGACAGACAGAGGTGATTTGAAACACCACACGTATTGTCTAAAAATTAGTGACTTCTAAAGCAAAGATCCAGAGCATGAATATATATTTTAAAAAAAGAACAAAGCTGTGTGTACATAGAGTGATAGTCCCAAATAGGTGAAAGGTACATGTGAGTGGAAAGTCAAGAAAGTGCAACATCGCCCCCTTATGTTTGCATGCATACTCACTTTGTATGCAAATCCACAAGGGTTCATCATTGAGATTATTATTGCCTTCAGGAGAGAAAAGTGGAATGGTACTTTCAGGTGAAGAACAAAGAAAATACTAGGTGAAAGATTACAAACTTGCTTATCTCTAATCTTCTTTCCATACCTTGATGTAGCCTCCATTTACTGCTCAGACACCAGTATTTAGACATAGCCAACTTCATAGCTACTGGCCTGAAATGCTTCATTGTTACTCCATTTTTAAAGCTCAGATAAGTCATCTGGCTGTTTTCTGACTTGTTGGAAAACAAAACTTCCAGACTTCTATTCTGCAGTTAAACATGTTTTGCTTCCCATCCAAGAACCTTCTCAATTCCAGATTCTTATTTTAATGTTTTAATTGTGAACACTCCCTGAATGGGAAGCAAATCATTTTCAAATACGAACAAAATAGAAATCTAGTTGTTTCGTTTTTTTCAATATTTATTTCACAATGTCCTAGATGACTGAGAATCTACTCCAGTGGAATGAGAGGAAAAAAGGGGCCCTTAAAACGATGTAAACTACAACAGGTTCCAGGTGGTTTCCAGAGTATGGGGCAGTATGGGGTGAGGGACGGACAAAACAGTAGAATGGCAGAGTTCCTGTGCTTGTCGGCTGGCGCAGCTTGGCTAGACTCTTCAGTGTTGCCATGTCAGCTATCAGCTGGTTAGGTAACTGTGTAATTCTCTGGAGGTGATGCTCAAAACCACACCTGAATGGTTGCCTGGAGACAAGGTGGAAAAAGAAACAGGCAACCAAATAAGTGAAGGACTCAAGAATGTATGCACAAATTCTGAAACACTGTGGTTCACAGATGCAAAATGTGCTTCATCAGAATCAGAATCAGAATAAGCTTTATTATCATTGTACCGAGATACAAGAATATGCCTGTACAGTCATCTGAAAGATGGGCGGAGTGCACAAAGCTGCTGCTGTGATAACACGGCCTTCTTATCCTTTATCAGAATACATATTTTAGATAGAAAAAGGGACAAAGCTATGAGGAGAGGATAGTGGCATTACAAAAAAAGATCTCTTCACATCTTGTCCTAACAGGACATGATTTAAAACATCAAAATAACTCTGCCAGCAAGCACATTTATGAACATGTTACATATGCATTTGACGATGAAGTGGTCCATGAAGCACTAAACAAATAGTCCTTTGTTCTGATAAGATGATGGTCACCCGGCAAAGTTCTGATAAGCCTCCGGGGGCGTGTTGTGATAGACAAAGCTTTTCTTTAGTTTACATGTTTCCCAGGAGAAATAGATAAGTCGGCCTATTTCGAGGCCAACCAGGTAGTCAGATTCAGATAAGCCACAATTGTTGATTTATTCAGGAAGACTGTTTTTTCTTGTCAGCCTTGAGTCTTACTGATACTTCCAAGATCCAAAATGGCCAGATTAGGGTGCATTCTACTGGTCCGTGCTTACAAGCCTCTTCAAGGTTGTTTCATGCTGTCGAGTCCAAAGTCGCAGGTGGCCTACGATTCAAATCACTTCCATCTTACAGTTTAGCTCGTAAATCAGATGATTTTGAGTCCTCAAAGCACGAACCAAACCTTCACATAGGCAGCAGCCTGACGAGGTCCAAATTAGCTGCAGCCGTCTTCTTTGTATGTTGATAAACCAGGATGCAGACTATTCTAAAAACAGGAAACCTGTTATAAATCCAATTATATGATATTTCGGGGTCCTCAATCAACAGCAGAGGTAGACACATCACATTACACTTCCCCAGAGATATATCCAGCTGCATCTGTCATCCGAGCAGATATGAGGGTTCTCCAGGACCCTGTCGCTTTGTTGAAAATATTTTGTCATTTGTGTCAAAAGTCCAGTTGGTCAGATCCAAAACAGTAGTTTTAATTTTGTCATTTCATTTCATGGAATTTTATTAAAATAATATACCTTTGTGATCGCTCAGGTTAACCAAATGCACAGTTTATTGTATTATCTAACAATTTTAAACTGTAAGTCAAACACTACAAAGAATTTGGTAATTTTAAAATGTGAGAAAAACAAATGCAGTAGTCCCTCGTTTATTGCGAGGAATCCATCCTGAAACCCGCGATAAGTGAAAAACCACCAAGTAGGAATAGTAGTACAAGT